TATAATCTGAGAGCCAGGATCAGATCGATAGGACAATAGGACCAACGTAAAACCCAACTGTTTAAACAGAGGCCGATTTTCTGGGTAAATTGTATAAAGAATAATTTTCCCAACCAGGAACGCACGCACAAACACGCAGGTAGATTCACTCTCTCAATCTTTCGCTTCCCTTTTCTGTTATTTCTCTCCCCCTGTCTCTGTCTGTATATTTTATTCCTACCTCTGTCTGTCTGTTTCTCTGTCTCTGTCTGTATGTTTGTCTGCCTGTCTCACTTTCCTCCCCCTTAACTCTTTCTGTCCCTGTCTGTATGTATATTTCTCTCTTTCTCTGTCTTTCTCTCTCCTTCCATTTCTATTGCATCACTCCCTCTGTGTTTCTGTCTACTTGGCTCTCCCCTCTCTTTCTGTCTAAATATTTATATTTGTCTTTCACTCTCTTCTTACATTTCTATTGGGTTTCTCCCTCTATCTGTCTGTCTTTCTGTCTGCCCACCTGTCTATATATGTCTGTCTGTCTGCCTCCCCCCCCTCTCTCTCTGTCTCCCCCCTTCTCTCTCTCTCTCTATCCCTGTCTGTATGCATATTTCTCTCTCTCTTTCTCCTTCAATTTCTATTGTATCTCTTCCTCTGTCTTTATCTCTTTCTGTCTGCCTGCCGGTCTGTCTCCCACTCCTCCCTCCCCCTCTCTCTCTCTTTTCAATGTTTCACACTTTTTCTCATTGTGTTATCATATATCATATATCTCTGATATGTCGGCTGGACAGATTTCTTGATTATTCTTTTCAGTCCAAAAGCGGGTATAACTATGAATAAACTTACAATATATTTATTAACAATACACTTATTTACATATAATATGTTCATCAGACAATAATACCGATACGTACAACAGGTAACCCACAGTATGGAAGTATCATTAATTCTCTTGGCTATTTTGTAATCGAAAATGGAATCCCTAACTGAGCATTATAACAGTTTCAACTATCTACCCAGTTCAGCAAATGACAATTATCTTAATGTCTAATTTCCTTTTACAAGAATAATTATATCTGTACAGGTAAGACTAGGCAATGCTGGACCACAAGGTTCACAAAGACGTCTCCAGGAGCTTTTGTCTCGGGGACACACTGTGTAGGTTCACTGCATCGTTTGCTTCGATGTTTTTAAGAATCTGCATTTCACTTCCCAACCTTCGCTTTTGTTTCTCTTTGAGCTTCAAGACTTGTTGCTTGAGAATGTCCGTGATTTCGCGTTGCCACTTTTCACGCTCGTCCTTGCGCGGGGCCTTGAAGACGTAGGTGAGCGTCCGCGCAGCCCCCTCGCGCACCTCGACGGAGAAGCTGTTGACGTCATTGGCGGGACCCAGACCCACGGTGTCCATCCTCAGCGCTTCCACGTACTGGTAGCGCGGGTGCCGGTACTCCAGCAGGAGGATCATCGTCTCCAACAACACTGCGTGGATATCCTGCCTCATCATCTGCCCCGGGAACCGCACCTTCACGTCGCCCTCCATCAGCACCGTCCCGCACTCGTCGAGGTCGAAGGGAGACCCGTCGACTGTCTCCGTCAAGAGGATCGTGTTGGCTTCTGATATGACGCCTTTGAAGATCGACAAGGCTTCGTCGAATGTCGCTTTTGCGCCGGGATTGGAACTATGAGTCTCGCCTAGTTGGAGTAAACACTTCATGTACACCTCCACTTGGATCAAGGGATAAACGTAGGGGTTTTTTAGGTCCATTTCTCTCATGGTGGAGTCGAGCCGTACGCGATCGGCTAGAAACGCGGCGTACAACTCACGTATACGTTCTGCACAAATGATGAAACACTTGGCTATGTCCTCGGGGCAACCCTCGCTAGTGGCTTCTTCGAGTAGATTGTGAAAAGTGTTAGAGTGGAAGACGAAGAGAGCTCTCATATGGGTCACAATGCAAGACGGAGGCCGCGGGAATTCGTCCTCCAAGAGTTGTCCGAGCTGCTCGTTCAGGTTTGCTGTGTATTTTCGTTCATGAGAAAACACTGAGGCCGGATGAGAGAAATTGCCTTCTTTGTCGTCTGGAGGGAGAGCCTTGAACAGACTTTCAAGCTGAGGGAAGACCGTCCACACTGCTAGCGGTGATGGCGACGTGTGACTCTTCCAGCTGGGCGCAGAATCTCCGTCTGAGGTGTATCCGCTTGCCTGCCTTACCACAGGTCGAGGGCGACTCGGTGCGCTCGAATGTTTCTTAACTGCTCCTCGACGGCGAGGTCTGCCATCATACCCCGAGGCGTTCCCAGCCTGATCGCCCTCGTCCTCCATGCCGATCTCGGGACTGCTGCCTGGGTGAGAAGGTCCCTTGTTCAAGACTCTCTCGAAGGACTGTCCTCTGCGGAATTTGCTCCGTCTGCCGCTGACACGTAGCTCGGGGTCCCCCTCAATGAAACTGTTTCTCGGCGTTGTAGTCTGCGATTTCTCTCTCAGGATCCATTTGATGTCGTTGATCCACAGCTGCTGCATGTTGAT